GGGATGTACCACCTGCTGCCCGCCATTTGGGTTGATGGTCACTTATATGTGCATTATTAATGCGCGGTCGGTGAGTGCGCATTTCTGCTATATGATTTTTTGGCATCAGTGTATCTCAAAAGAGGAAGCGTTTCATGATTCTGCACAAGATTTTATGAACATTTATTGAACTACATATTATTTATTTTTCAGCGCTGCACTATATTTTACATATTTATTTAAAGCGTGTATGACCCTTTATGGGTTATGGCTGGAGGTGAGTGCGCAACCTAGCTGGTGGAGGATTTTTGCAGTGGTCACTGCTTGATTCATAATTTACTGAAGATTTATACACTGATTGGGACTTTTCACTTTATTTATTCACATTTATATATATTTTATATTTATCTACATTGTATTTATATTTATATGCATTCACAATATTTATTATTTCGCTTATGAATTATGGTCAATACTAATTTTTTAGGTCACTGCATTTAATCATTTATTTATGAACATTTATTTGTTTATTATATTTTGGTCACATTTTTTGGTGTGATTTTCACTTTTGATTCCATTTAACAAAGGTCCTGATGCCAAGTTTGCTTTTTGAATAGCTCCTAGATAAATCTGAGCTTTTTGACACAAGAGACAACTACCAGAAGATCATGCAGGTAAGGAAAAAAGTCATAGAATCACCATGTGAAACTACCAAATTAATAGCTGAAGTATCAGACATGGTATGCATTAGTTTAAGGAAGACCATTTGTCTCTAACCATGTGTATAGTGACCACTACCATGTGTAGATCCTCCATTAGGATCCCATCGCTGTGTAGAAAGTAGCACGTGACCTCAGAGAAGAAATAGATGAAAATACAGATGATGAATCAGTTTCAACTTGTTCACTAGTAGTTTCCTAATCTCTTAAATTTGCATATGTATTCCCACTGGGCCTTAATTATGGGCCCTTTTGCCATTTAAATGCATATTCACCCAAAAAGGCTAGCCTATCCCTATGATATTTTTTGTCTGTACTGAGCATCAAACTTTTATTGTACTTCACTAGTTGCTTTTTCAGTTCCTTTTCCTTCACAGTAAATTCAGAATCTTGAGAAAGACCAACCTTTTTTTGTTAGAGTTGCTCAATTTCCTTCTCAAAATCTACTAAATCCCTACTGTACTTATCTCTGAGCAGCTCCATTATCCTACTTGAACATTTATTCAAATTGGGTTCCCATAATGTTTTAAATTCAGTATCAGTATTTTTAAATGTTGGAAAAAATCTGGGGTTAACACCCTCCAAGACATACCATTCAAAATATCTGACATGCCAAAAGAGATTGGAATTTTTTCAAATACTCTTTACTTCATAAAGTAAACATCAATATCAACATCTTTATGTGAATGTACCATGCAAGTGCTTTGAATGGAGCCCATAAAGGTTTCCCATGTAAAACCAAAGAGACCCAGTGTACTGGAATTAGAACAAAGGTTCACAATAGTAACTTTAGATCATAAATACAAGTATAAAAAGTAAAAGTTTAATTGTGGTAAAACCAATGATAAAAAATGAGGGTTTTAACCTCTAAGAAATTAAGGAGATGTTCACAGAACCATAAGGGCAATAAAATAGGTGCCTCGCCATCAAATAATTAGAAAAAAGGGACACAAAATTAGACTTTCAAGGCACCACATGTGAAACTAAATTAACAACACTGTTAACCTCCCTGGCGGTATGAATTTCAGATTTTTGGTGCTGAAAGCGGTACCATTTTTTTGCATGGAAATATGTATTTTTTTTATTGTAGGCTGTAATTTTTAGTAAAAACTCACTGAAACAAGAGTCCTAGTAAACATCCCGGGTAAGATAGCGCCAAGTTTGCACATTGCTGAGCTCAGTCGCAAAATCGTTTTCAAAAATTTCCCCCACGAATCATTATCACTCAATTCTGCAAGTGGTTCTGATTTACTATCGCTGTTCTCTAGCTGATCTAAACCGCTTTTGACCTAAAGGGACACTTTTTGGACGCCAAGGACATTTCTCAAATAAAACATAATGGGCAGGGCGCAGGACAAAGCCACAAAATAATTAAATTGAAAAATGTTTTAAAAATGGACACAAAATTAGACTTTCAAGTGCACCACATGTGAAAAAACCGGCATCGGCCGGAAAACGCTTAACAACACTGTTAATTGTGTTTTGAAAAAGTAGTGCCAAAAGTTTACTGTACTGAAATACATCACTCGGGAATACATTGTGTTTTGAAAAAGTAGAACAAAGTTTACTGTTACATCATGAAAATCCTAAAAACATATTGGTCCAGTACTTAATATTCATTACAGTTCTGTACTTTTAAGCCATAAAAATAATTAAGAACCTGTATATGTACATGATTAAGTATATATGCAGTGCCAAATCTTAAAATTACTGTCCACACCAGTTAATGGCCTGCAGAGCTGAATGCAAATTATAAAATTACATTGAAGTTCATATAAAAGAACATATGGGTAGTAGTAACTTAACATGATTTCATTTACTGTTAGCTGTAAACAATAAGCACATACTAAAAAGATAAAAACATTTAACTTTAAGAAAGCACATTTTCCAAGGATGAGAGCTACTCTCCAGGACTTAGACTGGGGAGAAATATTGGCACTGATGAACAGAAATGGGAATTCTTCAAAAACACCCTGTGTGAAAACACTGCAAAATATATACCCATAGGCAATAAGTTTCAAAAGCTAAAAATAAAACCTATGTAGCTCATGACCAAAGTTAAAAAAAGATATAAATAATAAGAAAAGAGCTTTTGAAAAATATAAAATTGAGGGAACACTATCATCATTTGATTGTTAAAAGGAATATAACAGAATATGTAAAAAAGAAATCAGGGTAGCAAAAATTCAAAACAAACACAGATTGTAAAAGGTAGTAATATGAACCCGCAAAAATTCTTAAAATATATTAATAGTAAAACGGTGAAGTCTAAGCACGCAGGCCCTTTACAAAATAATCTAGAGAGGGTGACTGGGGATAAACAGAAGAAATGTATTAAATACCTTCTTCAGCTCTGTGCATACAAAGCAGCATGCGGGAGCTCATGTCCATAATGGGGTTGATATTGACACAGCTCCAAATGATTCAAAATGGCTGAAAATTAATATGGTCCAGAAATATATAGACAGAATAAAGGTGAATAAAGCACCTGGACCAGATGGCATACACCCACGAGTCCTAAAAGAATTGAACTTTGTCATTTCAAAGCCATTGTTTCTAATTTTTAGATGACTGGCATAGTGCCACTGGATAGGCATTAATCCAATGTGATGCCTATATTTAAAAAAGGATCAAAGTCTTTACTATAACTATAGTAGCTATAGTAACTATAGATCTGTTAGTTTAACTTCTATAGTTAGGAAGATACTGGAGAGTTTAATGAAAGACCACAGATGAGTTCTTGCTGGAAAAAAATATTTTAAGCAACAGACAGCATGGATTCATGAAAGACAGAAGTTGTCAAACTTCTGGGGTAAGCAAAACTTTAGAAAAAGGTGTAGGCCGTGGCCATAGAATGGTGTCCATTTATGATAGAGAGAAAAGCTGAGATCCTGATGATCACAGCTGATCTCTCAGGTGTGCCAGTTTATGAAGCTGAGGTGAGGAGCGGAGAACATTTTCTTCACTTCTCATCACAGGACACACCCTGCTGTCATTCACTTCTACTGTCATTCACTTCTACAGAGATGGCCAGTTTATGAAGGTGAGATCTGAAGATCTCACTGGCCATCTCTTCAAAATATCTCCGTCCCAGATTCTCCAACCCAGAGCTGGAGAATCTTGATGAGAAGCTGCTGTGATGGAGGAGGAAGGTTTCTTTCTTCCTAATATCAGCACCAGCGGGGTTAAACATTGCATTAAATTATAACTATATATGTATATTTTACTTACTTTATACTATATTTGTATATTATATGTATATTAGCATTATATATATATATATATATATATATATATAAAAAATATATATATATATTTATATACACACACAAAAATAGTTATAGTGTATTGTCGTTTACAATGCATTCACACCTGAGCAATGCAGAATTGCACAATTCTTGCTGAAATTCTACATTGTGCTAACATTGTGCAGTGCAGTGCGCTTTTGGGTGCCATTCATTATTAATGGCACCCCAAATGCTGTTAGCAGACATGCATTTTGCCACACATTTTGTCATGTGACAAATACGCTATCAACGCACCAAAATGCGCATTGAAAAAACACACAACACTTCATGCCCAAAAAAGGTTCAGTTTGGCTTTTTTGGGCCTTTTTAATACACAGTTTGGTGCAGGTTTTAACAAACATTTTACTTTTTTTTTCAATACATATTTTTTTAAAAACGTGAGTTGAAATTTTTATGTGCATTTTGGTGCTTTTTTAACATGGATTTTGGCTCATTTTTTAACCTGCGTTTTTGTGTGTGTTCATGTCATGTTTGCGGTGCCATTATTTGTTAATGGCACCCAAAAGTGGCTAGCAGATGTGCAGTTTGCCAAAATATGCATTAACACCAAATCAAAATGCACTTTGAAAAAGTGGCAAAATACGTGCTAAGAAAAGTGGCAAAATGTGCGTTACAAACCACACCAAAATGCATGGTAACAGCTTCTCGACTGCCCTATAGCAGAACTACATACTGCTACAAGGCAGCACAGGTGTTCAAAATAACATATATATACGTGATTTCGCATTTCCGGGCAGGGGGTATGCACCCTACCCGCGCCGCCATTCACAGGCGCGGCTGTCAATTACCGGGTACTGGCCGGTGATTGCTGAGCATCTTCAATGGGAAGGAGAACTGTTTGTAAACAAAGCAGTTCTCCTCCCTGTCAGCTCGTGCACACTGCTTTGGGTGGCTGTGCACAGCACAGCCATCCAAAGCAGTGTGCTTACAGTGAAGCACACAGACACAGCACATAGTAAAACAGCAGACAGCACACAGTTAACCCCTTTTATCGCCCCTCTTGTTAATCCCTTCTTGCCCAGTGCCATTAGTACAGTGTCAGTGCTTTTTTTTTAGCACTGATCACTGTATTGGTGTCACTGGGGATGTCAGTAACACCAAGTCAGTTACCCCCCAGTGTCAGAATGCCCGCTGCAGTTCCTCACTCTTGCTATAATTCGCTGATTGTCACCAATACTAGTAAAAATTAAAAAAAATGTTAAATCCTAGTATATATATATACTATATATATATAAATCCTATATATATATATATATATATATATATATATATATACCTCCATTTGTAAAAGCTATAACTTTCACGTAAACCAACTAATTTACACGCATTGGGATTTTTTTTTAGCAAAGACATGTAGCAGAATACATTTTGGCCTAAATTAATGATGAAATTAGATTTTTTTACTGGACATGTTTAATATCAAAAAGTCTAAAATATTGTTTTTTCTCAAAATTGTCGGTCCTTTTTTTTATATCGCAAAAAATAAAAAAAAAAAACGCACAACCAATCAAATACCACTGAAAGAAAGCTCAATTTGGGAAAAAAAAGGACGTAAATTTAATTTGCGTGCAACATTGCATGACCGCGCAATTGTCAGTTAAGTAACGCAGGGCCGTAATGCAAAAAATGGCCTGGTCAGGATGGGGGGGGGGGGGTAAATCCTCTGGAGGGCAAGTGGTTAAAATAACCTGTGCCAAAATGTGCGTTAAAGCGCCTAAATGTGTGTTTAGAAAAGTGCACATTAAAAAAACCCACGCCAAAATGCGCGTTAAAAAAATACAGCATGTTAAAAAGTGGCAAAATGCATGTAAATAATGCTAAAATGCACAATAAAGAGGATCCAAAATACACATTTAAAGAATGTGCCAAAATGTGCATAAAAAAGTACCAGTGGTCAGTGCTTATTTTCATGTAGTGATCTTTCTATCTTTGGTTTCACTGTTTAAAACTCAGATGATCTGTAATCACACAATTATCTCACGAGATCACATACATCCCTTCCCCTTCTACACAGATCTCAGCTGTTCTCAGAAGAAAAACTTCTCTCTTCTTTTGAGAACAAATGTTCTCCGCTTCATAAACAGGGGGACAGAGGTGAAGATTTTTCCCTGAGAACTGCAGAGAACTGAAATGAAATAAATTATCTCTGTTTAATAAACGTACACCTATACTACAAAAGCATTTGAAACAGTTCCCCCCACACGGCTAATGTGTAAGGTAAAGGCTTGGAAAAATCAGTTTGTAAATGGATAGAAAACTGGCTGAAAGATCGTATTAAGAGAGTAGTGGTTAATTATTCATACACCCAATGGTCTAGGGTAGTTAGTGGTGTAACCCAAGGTTCATGATTGGAGCCCTTACTTTTTAATACGTCTATAAATGATATAGGGTCTGGAATTAAAAAACATTCCAAATTCATAATTCGGCATTTATATTATATTATATTGATGGCAAGCTTGCAAAATATTTGTTTTTTATGATTAATCATAATTAATATTAAAATGTGTGATTGGCCTTCAACAAGTGATAGTGTTAAATTCTTCAGTTATAGCTGAGACAGAAAAAAATGTATTTGGAGTTAGCTAAATAACTAGCTGTAAGCTGAGTATTCTATAGAAGGGCATAGCTGGTTAAAAGGTCTTTGGTATAGAATGTCATGGGAGTGAACCAAGTTATTAGTATGAAATATATATATTCTAATAGTATCTGTGTGTATTTAGTTTATGTTTTATAAGTTGGTAATATGTGTTACACAGGTACATTTTTGGTTATACAACGTTATTGAGATATTATGTTGTAAAGATAGATTCTTAGTTTATACTATCATTTAAATGGAGAACCTGAACACATGAACAGGGTGATGCAACATTGCCAGCTTATGGAGTCACTACATGTGGGCTTCTCAATCAAAAGGCCATATATGTAGTGTCCCCTCTATTCAATGAAATTGCTCTGCTAAGCAGTATTGTTTGCTATACAAGGTTCTGAGATCACAAATTATGATGTATACAAGCATCATAAAAAGACATCCTAAGAGATGCGAAGAGGGCTTTTCGCGCTATTCGCGCATGCGCAGTACCGCTTTCGATCGATAGAGCGGGATTTTCGCGCATGCGCGAACGGCTTTTAAATGGAAGTTTGGCTGTCACACTGCTAGTGGCGTCCATCCTCTGAAGAAGTGCTTCTTGCACGAAAGGCCTCAGGAGGAGCCAAGTAGCAAGTGTGACTTCCTGACCACTGAGACCACGAGGAGGTCCAGTGGTCTTTTGTTTTTTATGCCATTGCCGGGTTAGTACAATTTTCTTTTTTATACCTACCTGTCCGTTATTGGCTAATGGTGTATGGATATGTATGTGCATATGACCCAGGCATTATTGCTCCAATAAAGTTTTGAAAATACCACACTATTGGCGTTCCCCCTTTTTTTCTTTTGACTCTCCTGTTGGAGAGTGCAGATATACATCTTCCATTCTTGGGGTGTCTGGAACCAAAAAGGGGGGATCCCTGTCTATCTACCTCTGGATCTGGAGATATTGCTACACCCAAGGCGGATGAGAGTGTTGGAGAGGGAGGATCCGTGTGGTTTCTGGAGCTGTATACCTGGCTGGTCTTTTGGATTATATCATACACAGGCGCATTTTAAATGTGCGGTCGGTGAGAGTGCGCAATCTTGCTATCTTGCTGTTTTCCAGTCACCTAATGAGGAGAAGACCTGCACATATTTGATTTTATTGTCATTTGATTTTATTGTCATGAGAAAGACTCTATAAATTTACACCAATTTATACCAATTTTATTACATTTCAGCGCTGCACTATATATATGTATAATGACTCTGTTATGAGGTTTAGTGATCCCTTGAAGTGTTCCAGCAGCTGGTTTTTCTGAGCGCTCGCTATATTCACTATTCATACACACACAAGCATGGCATAAAGATGCTATGGTTATTCACAAACTGACAGACTGGAATAGGTGCATTCTCTAAGATATATGAACACGTCACTTCCTTCTTCTTGCTAAAAACTCAAGCTGCTAAAACACAAGACAAGAAGCACCACATGGGGGAATGGCCATGAAAATAAGGGTGACACATATTTATAACTTCTGTTTAGATATTTCTGGTTTATCTACATGAAACTGTTATTCAAGATATGTTTTACATTGTTATTTTATGCCATTGTGTGATGAAAAAAAATCACTTTATTTTTTACTTTGCCAGCTCTTTAATTATTCCAAAATCGCCTATAGACACTAAAGAATTATTATATGTGTCTCAGAAAATTCTGCACTATTTCAGTCTTTAAAGATGACACCAAGCTATGCAGTGGAATAACATCCTTACAGGATATCTTCAACTTACAAGCAGACCTCAATGTACTGTTTAATTGGGCAACTGTATGGTAAATGAGGTTTAATGTTGATAAATGCAAAGTTATGCACTTAAGGGTTAAGAATATGCATGCATCATACATAGAGGAGTACAACTTGGGGAATCAATGGTGGAGAAGGCTCTGGGAGTTCTGGTAGATCATAAGCTTAATAATGGAATGCAATGCCAAGCTGTGGTTTCCAAAGCGAGCAAAATCCTGTCTTGTATTAAAAGAGGTATTGGCTTTAGCGATAGAGGTATAGACTCCAGAGAGAGAGATATAATTTTACCCCTGTACAAATCATTAGTAAGACCTCATCTGGAATATATACTTCAGTTTTGGGCACCAATTCACAAAATGGATATTGGGGAACTGGAGAAAGTGCAGAGAAGGGCAACCAAACTGATAAGAGGCAGAGAGGAGCTCAGCTATGAGGAAAGATTAGAGGAACTGAATTTATTCTCTCTTGAGAAGAGGAGATTAAGGGGGAATATAATAAACATGTATAAATACATAGGTGATCCATATAGTAAACTTCGTGTTGAGTTATTCACTTTAAGGTCATCACAGAGAACAATGGGGCACGCTTTACGTCTGAAGGAAAACAGACTTAATCTCCAAATACAAAAATTTTTTCACATTAAGTGCTGTGAAAATGTGGAATCGACTCCCTCAATAGTTGGTTCTGGCCAGCTCGGTAAAATGCTTTAAAAAAAGGCCTGGATCCTTTCCTAAATGCAAATAACATAACTGGATACTAACATTTATAGGTAAAGTTGATCCAGGAAATATCTGATTGCCTCTTGGGGAATCAGGAAGGAATTGTTTTGCCAAATTGAATCATGCTTTGCTAGGTTTTTTTTTTTTGCCTTCCTCTGGATCAGCTGTGGGATTGTGTATATAGGATTGTATTTTTGTTTTCATTTTTTCTCCTTTTTATTGGTTGAACTAGATGGACTTGTGTCTTTTTTCAACTAGACTAACTATGTAACTATGTAAAAATTATAATTTATGTACAAATATTGTATAACTGTGGTGTACAATGGTTGTGGACAGTACAAATCTGTTAATATATACCTTAACATAATACTACAAAACACACTGAATTCTGCGTAACACCTCCAAGTAGTCACACCAAGTATACCTTGCCAGAAGCATATCCTCCTAAGCATCATAACACTGGTGCACACTGTGGAACCACCTCTGCTCCAGTCAAGAGCAATCCCAGGTAAAAGAGAACTATGAGAATCCAGGTAAATATGGTTGAAAAAGCCCTCCACTGAAACATTCACCAATTCAAACTTATAAATACATAGATACTAACTTCCCACATGAAGTACTTGCATACATAGAATTCTATTCCCACCATTACAGTCCTCCAGTATCTAGGCAGCACTCATGCGGCTACTGGGTCAGCAACCTTATAGCAGAGTCTAAGGAACTGCCTTGTCTTCTCCAGAGCTCTTGAAGGTAGAGATGGGTTTGCTGCAGACAGTCCCCAGGTTGCGGTCCTCGTACTCACCCAGGCAGGAAGCTACTGGGAATTACTAACTGATAACCCCTTGCAGTGATGAGGCACAGGGATCACTGGACAGTAGGGAGCTCAGTTCAAGCTGACATGCATAGAAACACACAGACACTGGGAACAGAAAACTAGGAGTAGGTAGTAAAGCAAGCAAACAAACAGGGGTCTCTAAGAGCAGATAGAGCTGTACGGTGAAACCAAACAGGAAACAGGATTGAAATACATTCGGAGACAGAGAGACAATCTGCTAGGACCTTTAAGGTGTAAAGCCTGAGGCAATGAGCCACATTAGAATGAGAAGAGATGGCCTGGCTGGGCTCATTAAATCATCAGCAGGAGGTTAAGCAGCCTTAAACACAAGTCTTGTGGGACAATAGGCAACAGCAGAACCTTGTAATTTAAAGTCATGGAACTACATGTACCAGCCTACCCCTGCTGCTCTT